TGTGAAGGAGAGTCCCTTCCACACTCACCTGCTGGCTCCCTGCCAACCACATCAACCTAATCTCTCCCTTCGCCTTCACGAGGTTCTCTTTCTAGGTCCGTGCCTCATCCTTGTCTCACAAGGACACTTGCCAGTGGCTTGAAAGCCCACCCAAGTAACCCAGGACCATCTCTCGCCCCGAGAGCCTTAATCGAAGCAGATCTGCAAAGATCTTTTTCCAAGGAAGATCACACTCACGGATTTCCGATGTCATGGCTGTTAGGGGGCTGCTGTTCAGTCCACTGGCCATTTAAAGCTTCTCTAACCCTAAATTCTATGATGCTGCATTATTTCTACTAAAGCACCTGGGGTTGGTGTCCAATGCATACCTAAAGGAAGCTTTTCGAGGGCAGTAACGTCGCTGATCCGGTGGGAGACGGAGGATCCAAGAAACCCCAAGCGCACTGTGATTGAGTGGATTCCAGGTCATGGCAACCCTGTGGGACAGGGGAGGACTGTCCGGTGGGTTTCTAAGACTGTCACTCTTTAGGGCAGTTGAAAGTCTCGCTTTTCTCGTGCTGAGGGATGAGTGGTTTTGAACCACTGCTCTTGCAGTTAGCAGCCCCACAAGTAACCCACGATGCCACCAGGGGCCCACGGATGGGGGAAGAGCAGCCAGTACTATGCCCACCTGCTCATCCAAACCCCGCAACGGAGGTTCAAGCCAGACCCCAGGAGCTACTAATGCTCAGGCGTCCACCCTTCAGCCACGGGATCCCGTACGAGACTCCTTTCGCCAAGGTCGCCGGAGGGCGGTGTCCTGGGAGGATGAGGGCTGTATCGATTTATTTACCAACAGGTGCAGCTGATTTTTCAGATTTGAACAACAACTTGTCTCCCGGGTCCACGTTCGGGCCTCGGTAAACCCTGCTGTGCCTGGGGGCAGGCAGCACCGCTTCAGGAGCTGAGGTCCAGAGCAGCTAAGCTGGTCGGCACCTTTGTGTCCATCCAGGTCAGGCTGTCCCCTTCTCCCTGCATCTACAGATAAGGACAGAGGACCAGAGAGGGTCCAAGGTCAAGAGCTGGTCAGATGCAGGGTGGAGAATTCCAGGCAGCAGGTGGGGGCTTGACTATCTTTCTGGGAAGGGACAGGCCAGCCATATTCTAGCTCGCTGCTAGCCCCAAGAGGTTTTTCTAGGCCAGAGGTGGCATGCATGCCATCACGTTTCCCTGCCCTTTCCTCGTAGGTGCTAAACTTTTCCCCGGGGTAACAGGACTAGCAATCCCATCAAACCCTTTCTGGCTGAGAGAGGTCAGGTGACCGGGGAGGTGGGGAGGGACACTTTGGGAGGGTACCCTTGATATCAAGTGCTTATATCACCTCCACCATTCTTCCTACTGCCACCCCCAAGTATTCCCTGGAAGCTGAAGTGACTCAGGGGTTCCAAAACCCGCCACCTCCTGGGGAAAGCCCTGCGGAAAATGTTTCTCATGGCAGGGAGTCAACCCAGGGATCCCACAAGGCTGCGATTGAGATAAGGACACAGACTGAACAAATGGGTGGGGGTGGGGGTGGGGCTGTGTGTGTGGCTCAGAGCACAGGTCAGGCCTGGTACTCAGGAGTGGAAAAAGCCAACCACGGGGAGATCGTCTGCTTGGGGGCTCCCTTCTCTGCCCTTCCATGCTCATCTCAGAGAAGGGCACGACAAGGGGAGCAGACTCCCAAACCCCAAACTCGCTGGCGTGGACTCCGTTCTGACTCAGTGACCCTCTAGGACCCTGTGGGTTCCCAGGATGGTAAGTCTTCATGGGAGTAGGAAGCCTTGTCCTCTGCAGTGTGGATGGTGGCTTTGAACGGCTGACTTTGTGGTTAGCCCACCGTGTAATCACTATGCTAAGGGGCAAAGGAACCCCCGAACGGTCTCTCCTGTGGGATCTTGTCCTCTGCAGCCGGGTGCGCACCCTTTCTGCCGTGTTAGCAAGTGAACCGAGTAGCAGGGGTCACGTCCAGCCTCTTGGAGCACCTTCCTGGACCTGCACCAAGATCCGGAGATCTTGGCCAACACTAGTTCTGCACCCCTGGCCTTGAGTTTCTGATTTGGGTCTGGGGAGAGCAGCAGGGACCCCGTTCTTGAGAAACAGCTATTCTCATGGAGAGGGGTCCCGCTCACAGTGACCTCGGTGCAACAGAACGAAACGCCGCCGGGTCCTGCGCCATCTCACAAGTGTTCGTACGTCGGAGCCCTTGTCACGCCCACGGAGTCAAGTCTATCTTGCCGCAGGCCTTTCTCTTTGTCACTGCCCCTCCACCTTACCCAGCATGATGTCCTTTTCCAGGGACTGCTCCGTCTTCAAGGAGCCCTGGTGGCAGAGTGATTACATGTTAGGCTGCGATAAGCAAGGGCAAGGTCCGAAGTTCAAGACCACCAGCCTCTGCAGGAGTAAGACTGGGCTTTCTACTCTTGGAAACTCACAGGTTAGCTGTGATGGGCGTGGTGAGTTTTTCTTTGTTTGTTTTGTCTCCCTTGAGTATGTGAGATGAAGTCTTGCCCTCCTTGCTTCTAAGGAGCATCCTGGCTGTACTTCTTCCAAGACGGATTTGTTTGTTCTTTGGGCAGTCCTTGGTGCTCAATAGTCTTTGTCAGCACCATCGCTCAAAGGCATCGGTTCTTCTTTGGTCTTCCTTATTTAATGTCCAGTTTTTCACATGCCTATGAGGTGAAACAGTATTGTTCCCTAAAAGCCTGTCCTGGACCTGGAGGGGGGTGGTGCTGAGGTGACCAGACACCACTGTTGGGACCACGGGCCAGGGACCTGGAGCGGTGGGTCCTAGCCACCAGGGCTGAGTGCCTATGTGGGCAAGATAAGCCCTGCGGCTTTGGGCAGCTGCATGTGAGGCCTGTCCCAATCCAGGGCCACGGGAGAAAGAATGAAATGCAGGGACCCCTTTTCCCTGTGCTGGTGCCCTGTGACTCCTCCTAACCATGTGGCCTGGGGTGGGTGATTCCACTTCTCCGCATCTCTTCCCCCAGCTGTAAAAGGAGGGTAATGGTTCTCAGCTTCTGGGTTCCTGGAGAGGCTGATGGGAGAGGATGCACGCACAGGACTTAGCAGCATGCCTGGTACATGAAAGGTGCTCGGAGTGGAGGCCTGCACTGTAAGGAGGGGAGGGACCTGAGCTCATGGGGGTGGAGGGGGGGTTATTGTTTGGGGTAGTGCTGGCTGGTCTCACTGCTTCTCTGCTTTTCTTTTTTTTCATTATTTATTTATTTATTTTAAACATTTTATTAGGGGCTCATACAACTGTTATCGCAATCCATACACACATCAATTGTGTAAAGCGCATTTGTACATCATTCTCAAAACATTTTCTCTCCACTTAAACCCCCGACATTAGGTCCTATCACTGCTTCTCTGAAGAGCTCCTGTTCTCCCAGCTACCACCCCTGTCCCGTGCCCCACCTCGCCCCAAGACTCAGTGTCCCCCCTGCCAGTTCTCCAGACAGCCCCTGGACTCAGTCCCTCCTTTGCTTTGGGGCTGCTTTGCCTACAAGCATTTGAAAGGATTCCTCTTTACTGCGATTTAAATGAGTCCTGACTCTCTGTTTATTCCCCGAGTCCCTAGTTACCAGAGGAGTATTTTCTAAGGGAAAGCACATGCAAAGCAGTAAACATCATTCCAGATACCATGTCTGTGTATGAGTGTGTTGGCATGGCGGGGGACTGGCGGGTGGCGTGGGTGTGGGGTGAGAGGGGTCATTGTTGGGCATGAAGGGAACAGACCCGGAAGGCCTGTGTCTCTGGGGTCCCGCTCAGCTCTGAGCCCCAACACACACACTTCCTCCTGGCCAACAGGGCCGCTGGAGTTGGGAGGGCTGAGGCTGAGGGGGCTGACTGCCCGCCTGAGAGCAGTGGCTATCATATCCCAGCCTTGTTCTCAAGGCCCTGCCGGTGAGGCTGGGGGCAAGTTGGCCCCTGGAGCTGGGACCTCCTACTGGGTCTCATGCCCCTTCTCCTCCTCATTTAGGTCAAGGGAGTAGTACCCACAGCTTCTTCCTCCAGATTCGCAACAAACGGATGGCGCCAGGGCCCTCCTGGCCATGCTATGGGGTTAGACTTGTCTCCCTCTGCACCTCGCTGCCATTGAGTCCACGCTGACTCATAGTGACCCTGTACCCTATAGGACAGGGTAGAACTGCCCCTGTGGGTTTCCCAGACTGTCGCTGGGGAGGAGAAAGTCTAGCCTTTCCCGCACAGAACCACCTCATCACCAGGGCTCCTCCGGCTTAGGGGAAGGGGGAGCAAAGGGTGGGGATGGGCAGGACCATTGCAGAGGGCAAAGGGAAGGTCAGGGGTGGGTGCGCAGATAATTAGATAATTCACAATGGAGGAGCGCTCACAGATGAGGGGTGGGATCGAGGGCATAGAACTTGGAACCATCCTAGGTGAGGAAGGGGCCAGAAACCAAAAGGGAGGGGGAGCCCAGGAGAGTGGGAGGGGGAGGGAGTGTTCACCAAGGTGGGCCATCAGGAGGAGGTCTGGGGTGAAGGAGGTGGGGACTGGGGGACGGAGCCTCGGAGCCACAGAGATGGAAGTGTGGGGTCTCTGGGGGAAAGGTGAGATGCAGTGTCTGATTTTGGTCCGAAGCCAAGCAGGGGCATTCCCAGAATGCCCACAAAGGTACAGCTGGCGGGGATACCACTGCTTTAACCCCACGCAGAAAAGAGCAGAGAGCAGAGCTTGCGCAATAGGTCACGTACATCAAGCACGTCACCACTTCCATGCGTAGGGCACTTTGAGTAGCTTTTGGAAACACTTTCTGGGTTTTGTTTTGTTTTGTTTTGTCTTTTTAATCTCAGGGCACTTCCTCCCAAAGGTAGTGGAAATAAATTTGAATAAACAAAACAAGTTTGCTCAAAATAAAACTGGGATGCTTAACTGCTCCAGTCAACCTGCAGCCACAAGGCCCTGCGTGCCCGTCCATGAGTGCCTAGAGGCTGAACGAACAGCGGGCAGCCAGCATGTTCCAGGTGGGTGTGCAGAGGGCTGGTCCCAGTGAGAGCTGGGAAGGAGCACAGGTGTTGCTCAGGGTGGCGTCAGGCCAACCTCCCTGGTCTGGGGCTGGGGAGCTAGAAGCCTGCATCTCGGGAGCAGCTGGCAGCGTGGTGGAGGCGAGGGCAGAGGGACCCTGATTGGACGAGGACAGCTCTCTCACCGGCCTCTTCCTGCAGGTGGTTGCCCTCCTGACCATGGTGCTGGGAGCCAGCACCTTCAGTGTGCGGATCCGGAAGGACAGCTCCCACCAGACCAGCTGCTGGTCCAGCAAAGGGCAAGACCTCTTGGAGGAGTGGCTGAAGGGGAGCCCCGTGGTGGTGATTCCTCCAGAGACAGCCAACCTCGCCTACCAGGAGGAGTCCTGCCGGGCCAGCGAGGACGGGCCCCTGAACAGCAGGGCCATCTCCCCCTGGAGATATGAGTGAGTCTGTAGTCTCCCCCTCTGTGTGCCGCTCAAGGTGTGGGTGAGGGCTGCGGGGCGCCCTACTCCAGTCAAGCCCACGGGTATTGGGTGCCATTGAGTTGATTCTGCCTCCCAGATTCCCCAGGGGACAGAACTCTCCCCCAGGGCTTCCTGGGCTGTACTATTTCCGGGAGCATGTCTTTTCTTCCAACCACTCACTTTTAATAGTTGTCGAGTGCTCCACCAGAGCACCGTAAGTCTAGCTTACCTTCCTTCATTTAGCCTCCAGAGACCTAACCATAGTTAGGCAAGGCCAGGGTTTTAGTTCTAGCTCTTATTCTTACTAGGTGAACATGGACCAATGACCAGGTCTTTGGTCCCCCCTGCCCCATCTGTAAAATAGGCATACTATTCCACAGACTAATGTGCCGATGAAACCAGCGAATGTGTACACACATCTGTACTGAGAACAGGATTTGTGGCTTCCTCATGTCCTGACCTTACGGCGGCCATGTTTTTGGACCAGGGATGATGGTACCATAGGCACAAAGAGACGCAGTGCCACCGGTCCCGGGCCCAGAGCGGGTCCCACGTCGACTAAGAGAGTGAACTCTCTCAGCCTCTGTGGGCAGCTGAATGGCTGGTTATTTGTGCCCACGAGCAGTCTTCTTTCCCTCTGTACACCAATAGTATAATTCTCTTTTGGGGCCATGAGGTGAAAAAATATTAGGAAGCATTAAATTCAAAGTACCAAGAAAGAAGGAAAGTGCTAGAAATTAGGATCTTAAAGCTCCCAGAATATTTTTGTTTCCATCTTGTGTCTTTACCAAGTGTCTGTCCCCACTTCCTCCAGGGCTAGTTTTGGCCTGGCCTGAGTTTGGGGTGGAGGATGGGGTGGGTGAAGTTCAGAGCAATAGACATCGGTTTCACTGTAATGGAGACTAGGACCAGGGTGGAGACACTAGGCCTTGGAGGAGTCTCAGAGGGCGGGCGGGTTAGATCCTGGGCCAAGTCCAATGGGGTGGGAGCCCTTGGGAGCCACTGCTGGTTGACTCAGCTGCGGTCCCAGCCCCACTTTGGAAGGTTGTGAGCCCCTGATAACCATTTCGGTGACCTTTTCCAAAGTATGTGCTGGGCAACGCAAGATCCACAAGCTGCCCCTCAGAAAGAAGGGACAAGGTCCATAAGGCCCCAGCGCATGGGTGGCTGCAGGAAGGGAAAAGAACAGAAGCTATTCCACGCAGTGTTGCACAAACTCACTTAGATGCTAAACAAAACCAAACTCACTGTCACTCACTGTCACCATAGGACAGGGTAGAACTGCTGCTGGGCGGAAAAGCCCCGTCTTCCTCACGAGGAGCAGCGGTGGCTTCAAATCACTGACCTTTCCGGAAATAGCCCAACTCATAACCACTATGCCACCAGGGCTCCTCTACTTAGCCAGGGAACCTCTTTCCCCCCCAGCTCCCATCCTCCTAGAGCTCCCCTTTGTTTCCCAGGGAACCCGCTTGAGGACCTGCTGTGTTAGCTCAGGCTGTTTGCTGGGGCTGGCCTGCTTGGAGACGGGTCCTACAACCCAGGGCGATTCCTGCTAGGATACTGGGGTCCCTGGCCTTTGGAACCTCTACTTATTAGTGGCTTTCAAATCACCTTCCCCTGCTACCCAGAACCTCTGGATTAGTTGGAAACCACTTGGCATAGTGGTTATCCGTTGGACTGTACACCACAGGGTCAGCAGTTCGAAACCATCAGCTACTCCTCAGGAGAGAAGTGAGACCTTCTGCTCCCATAGAGTTCTTAGAAATGTACAAGACCAGTCCTACACTGTCCTACAGGGTCAGTTGGACTCAGCTCGATGGCAGAGAGTTGAGTTTACTTCATTGTCATTTGCACTGAGGGACAATGGTCCTAGAGAGGAGGCAGTGATTTGGTCAAAGTTAGGCAAGTTGGTGCCAGAGCTGGTGCTACCACACTGTTTTCTTCCTCTGCCCTCCCTGCCTCCCTCCAAACCCTGAGGAGTGCCACCCCACGGCCACTACTAGAGTGAGTGTCACCAGAGGGCTAACTCATGGTGTCAATCCCTACCCCCAAATATTTTCCAAACTATGTGCTGGCCAACACAGTGATGACCTAGCAGAGCCTAGACCAAATCCTGCAGAATCCTTAGTAACAGTTGGACCGATTTTAATCACAGAACAAGATATGATAATTTGGATGCTAACTGCGAAGTTGGTGATTCAAACCCGCTAACTGCTCCTTGGGCAAGATGAGGCCGTCTGTTTCTGTAAAGACTTAGTCGCCCATGCCAGCTCACTGGGAGTTGGAATGGACATGATTCATGCCAGTAGTGGGTTTGGGTTTTTTAAAAGTTGCTTACATGTGAGATTTCTTAGATTATATGAATACCAACACCGAAACTGTTTTCGTAGGCTTTTCCCACGTTGAATCACAACATTATTAGAAACCCAGCAGAAACACTTTGTCCCTTCTTTTCTTTTAATTTCAACTTTATTCTCGAAAACAGTTATTGATAAAGGGTCACACATACCAACAACTGTATATTATAGTGAAACATCTGAGAAGCAATTAAAATCAGCGACAATAAAAATACCACCAGCATCCAAACCACAGTCCCTGCTGGGTCCGTATCTCACTCACTGCCATGGAGTCCATCCCTTATAGGACGGGGTGGAACTGCCCCTGTGGGTTCCCGAGACTCACTCTTTATGGAGAAGAAAGCCTGGCCTTTCCCCATATAATTGGGCAATAAGGACAGTGCTGACTGGAGTGAATTAGAAGGTTAAAAACGTGAATTAGCCTAGAGTTTTAGTCTTGTAGGTACAGCGGATCATGCAGGCTGGGCTAATGAGACTAATCCCAGAGATATTTTCATTAAAAGCACTAAGCTACTGAGAGGCTGCACAGAGATTTGAGAGGCAGGCATTGTGGCGACTGAGTGTCACCCAGTACATTGCTCACCCCCCACCGCCTCTTTGACACGGCTGTGCTCCCCTCCCAGGTTGGACAGAGACTTGAACCGGTTCCCCCAGGACCTGTACCACGCCCGCTGCCTGTGCCCACACTGTGTCAGCCTACAGACAGGCACCCACATGAACCCCCTGGGCAACTCGGAGCTGCTCTACCACAACCAGACTGTCTTCTACCGGCGCCGGTGCCACCGAAAGCAGGGTGCCCACAAAGGCTACTGCCTGGAGCGGAGACTCTACCGCGTGTCCCTGGCCTGTGTGTGCGTCCGGCCCCGAGTGATGGCCTAGTGGAGCCCCCCCCAGGCCACGCCCCCATCGGAAACGGCGACACCACCCGTGCCACCTCTGGGGCACAGACTCCCAAATGCTCAGCCCCTTCAAAGCCACCTCCAGGGATCCGCAGGATCCTGGGAGAGGGGGTGGGGGTGGGGTGGAGGCTTCTGGGGTCCACCTGCACGTTTGCACTTTTTTAGAAAAGACTGAATTGTAGGGCGAAGTGACGAGGGGGTGGGGTGGGAGCGGAGGTGGGTTGGGGTGGGGGTTAGCTGCTGCTTATGGCCGCTGACAGCTGGTGTCCCCGCGACCTGCCCGCGTCCTCTCGGGAAAGGCCTTCCGAGGCCTGCCACTTCTCCCTCCGGGGGCCACAGCTCCTGTCCTCCCATCCCCGCGGCCCTGGCACAGCACGGACACTTTCTGAACATGTCCCAGGTGTCGGCCCAGGGCCTCTGTTCCGGCTGGTCAGTGTGTTTGCGCCATCGGCCGTCCACTCGCGCGGTTCCGACTCTCCGTGACCGTCCGCTCTGGGCGCGCAGCCGCGCGGTTCCGAGGCTGGACAGGGCTGCTTCTGAGCACGGAGGGACTCCTTCAAATAAACCATCTGTTATCGGAAAACGCCCCGCACTTCTCTTTGGCATCTCTGCGCCCTAGATACCTTGAGGTGGCCCCCGAACGCCCGCCTCGGCCGCACCTACAGCCCCCTGCAACTGGCTGTCTGCTGGAGTTCGCGCCGTGCCCGCCCAGCGCTTCCCTCCACGGCGCCCCGAGCCCCCCGGTGGGGGCCAGCCGCCCTCCCCGCATGCGGGAGACACAGAGGCCTATTGAGGCACCGTGCGCCCCAGCCACACAGCGCCCCCTTGTCTCCAACAATCTGCCTTTGTCCTCGGGTCCTGGCGGCGACTGCTCGTTCCTGGGGGCGGACGATGGGGTGGAAAGGGGGTGGGGGGCGCTGCCTGCTCTAGGCCCCAGCTCACACCCTCCCTAACAGGATCAGGAGAGAGGAGGAGCCAAGGAAGAGAGTTAGGGTTAGGGGAGGCGGGGGTCTGTGCGCTGCTTCTTCAGACTTGGGTCCTTAGGGGGGCACCCTATCCTCCTCTGGTTTCTTGGCTCCCCTCCCAGCTCCTCCCAGGTTCTCCGGGACCTCCTCCTCTCTCCCATCCCCTTCTCAGGACTGGGTCGGCTCTGAGTCAGGGGAGGGCTTAGCCACCTCCCCGCCCACCCTTGTGTCCCGGCGTGGCTGGCGCAGGCACCCTGGGGGGCGCTCTGGGGAGCGGGGCCAGGGCCATCTGGGCAGTCTCCCCAACAGCCACCTTCTGGGGCCCCTCAGACCTCCTGGACTCTCAGCACCTTCCTGCTTTCGTTGGCTCGCCCAGCCTGCCAGGTCTCCGTTTTTCTTCCCAGCCTGCGAGTGGTGGTGGTGGTGTGTGTGGGGGCTGTACCTGTGGGCCCCGAGGAGATGCCGGGTGCTCGAGAGCCCCAGGACTGGCACCCCGAGGAGGGGGCAGCGGCGGGGCTGCAGGGCTTCGCCTTGGACAAGACCTTCCTCTCTTCCCTCAGAGGGATCCTGCTGGAAACCGAGCTGGTACGACCACCTCCCACTCCCCCAATCCAGCCCCCGGCTGGCTGCCACCTCAAAGTGTCTCTCCAAGCTTTCTGAACCCCCTGAGAACTCCCCGCTGCCTCCTGCCAGCTTCTGCCTTTTTGTTGCCCCCTCAGCTGGAGGTGGCTGCAGCAAGTTTCCGTTGCAGCAAGAAGGCTTGAAGTTAGACTGAAGGAAGAACTGCTTTCTGGGACTTGAAGGGACTGGGGGCTGGGGAGAGGCTGGCCTGTCTCTCCCAGGCATGAGTTAGGTTAGGTTCAACCATCAGAAGGGGCAGGCTTCCCGCAGTCCCCGTCCTCTGCTCCCCATGAAAACCAAGACTTCCCCTGTCACTAAGAAATGCCTCTCAGAGCGTGCCCTGGAGGTGGATGGTGCAGAGCCCCCCCACCCAACACACACACACACACACACACACACACACACAC